CTCAGAAAGGAAGTGGTGTGGGGAGGGAAAGTCAAAAGTGAGCAGCTATAGAAAAAATTGAAGACAAATAACCGAACCCCTAGTTTAAGGTAAGCCATGAATAATGTTTCTAATGTTTCTATGTACATATCATGTGTCTGAGGTGTCTCCGTAGGTGTGAGCTTATAAACGGAATTAATCTCGATTTAGCGAAGTGATATCCCCCTTCGCCGGAACAATTGATGCAGAGAACTTCCGGGGATGAGAGATTTCCGGCTAACCAAACGACTTTCTCAAACCTGGAAATTGCTGATCCCCGGAATCTTTCCCGGTCACTGGGAAAGGTTTCCAGGTGTCTAAACTAAACATCTTGCACAGACAGACACTAGCCCACTTCCCCAGAATGTTTCTGGGTGCTGGGGATGTTTTCCTTGAGTCTAAACTGCTGGAGTCCATAAATGCAGTTCTAATTAAGTTAAAACTCCATTTCTTTACTGTAATATTCCAGAATAGTTTATCTAAATGTGGTGAAATAAATATATTTAAAAATTTAAAATCTACATGATACAGGCATGAATGAAGCTGAGTGATAAAGCAAAGACTGGTATTTTTCTTCCCCATGGAGCTGTGGGTGATTAGTGGGTCTCATGTAACTGACCTGACCTGATCTGATGTAATGTCAGGTGGAGGTAGGGTGAGTCTCATAACCTGAAGATGTCTTGAATAAACACGAAATCTAAAGTATTCTCAGGGAAATTGTGATAACTATAAGTGAGCGAAGTTGTATCCCTTCAACATTACGTTACATAACATTTTAAAATGTGGAGTGAGAAAGCAGTAAGGTGTGGGTAATTAGAGAGATGGAGTGGAAAGGAGTGGTAACTTGCACAGGTGTTGCCAAGTGCTCCTCAACAGCAGATATTTAACTCACTACCATGCAGTCACACAGAAATTAAATTAGTCATACAATAAGACCCTTACTCCTCATGCTTGCTATCTTAATTCCTATGATGTGTGTGTGTGTGTGTGTGTGTGTGTGTGTGTGTGTGTGTGTGTGTGTGTGTGTGTGTGTGTGTGTGTGTGTGTGTGTGTGTGTGTGTGTGTGTGTGTGTGTGTGTGTGTGTGTGTGTGTGTGTGTGTGTGTGTGTGTGTGTGTGTGTGTGTGTGTGTGTGTGTGTGTGTGTGTGTGTGTGTGTGTGTGTGTGTGTGTGTGTGTGTGTGTGTGTGTGTGTGTGTGTGTGTGTGTGTGTGTGTGTGTGTGTGTGTGTGTGTGTGTGTGTGTGTGTGTGTGTGTGTGTGTGTGTGTGTGTGTGTGTGTGTGTGTGTGTGTGTGTGTGTGTGTGTGTGTGTGTGTGTGTGTGTGTGTGTGTGTGTGTGTGTGTGTGTGTGTGTGTGTGTGTGTGTGTGTGTGTGTGTGTGTGTGTGTGTGTGTGTGTGTGTGTGTGTGTGTGTGTGTGTGTGTGTGTGTGTGTGTGTGTGTGTGTGTGTGTGTGTGTGTGTGTGTGTGTGTGTGTGTGTGTGTGTGTGTGTGTGTGTGTGTGTGTGTGTGTGTGTGTGTGTGTGTGTGTGTGTGTGTGTGTGTGTGTGTGTGTGTGTGTGTGTGTGTGTGTGTGTGTGTGTGTGTGTGTGTGTGTGTGTGTGTGTGTGTGTGTGTGTGTGTGTGTGTGTGTGTGTGTGTGTGTGTGTGTGTGTGTGTGTGTGTGTGTGTGTGTGTGTGTGTGTGTGTGTGTGTGTGTGTGTGTGTGTGTGTGTGTGTGTGTGTGTGTGTGTGTGTGTGTGTGTGTGTGTGTGTGTGTGTGTGTGTGTGTGTGTGTGTGTGTGTGTGTGTGTGTGTGTGTGTGTGTGTGTGTGTGTGTGTGTGTGTGTGTGTGTGTGTGTGTGTGTGTGTGTGTGTGTGTGTGTGTGTGTGTGTGTGTGTGTGTGTGTGTGTGTGTGTGTGTGTGTGTGTGTGTGTGTGTGTGTGTGTGTGTGTGTGTGTGTGTGTGTGTGTGTGTGTGTGTGTGTGTGTGTGTGTGTGTGTGTGTGTGTGTGTGTGTGTGTGTGTGTGTGTGTGTGTGTGTGTGTGTGTGTGTGTGTGTGTGTGTGTGTGTGTGTGTGTGTGTGTGTGTGTGTGTGTGTGTGTGTGTGTGTGTGTGTGTGTGTGTGTGTGTGTGTGTGTGTGTGTGTGTGTGTGTGTGTGTGTGTGTGTGTGTGTGTGTGTGTGTGTGTGTGTGTGTGTGTGTGTGTGTGTGTGTGTGTGTGTGTGTGTGTGTGTGTGTGTGTGTGTGTGTGTGTGTGTGTGTGTGTGTGTGTGTGTGTGTGTGTGTGTGTGTGTGTGTGTGTGTGTGTGTGTGTGTGTGTGTGTGTGTGTGTGTGTGTGTGTGTGTGTGTGTGTGTGTGTGTGTGTGTGTGTGTGTGTGTGTGTGTGTGTGTGTGTGTGTGTGTGTGTGTGTGTGTGTGTGTGTGTGTGTGTGTGTGTGTGTATGTGTGTTGTGTGGTGATGTGGGGTGAGAGTGGGGAAGTTGAACCTTTTTGGGGGGTGAGGAGGGAAGGTCGCACGGTCAGTTTTCTCACCCCCTTCCTCACTCAAGTGTGGCTAATTGTGATAAGGAGGCGAATTTGATACCACAATGATCCTTAATAAATTATCTACGAGATGTTTTCAATAAGATATCCCGAAACAAAATATTTTAATATGATATAATGATAGGAATTCCATCCTTTTATATATAAAAATCAAGAAATGTTGATACCGGAATCAATAAAATCAGCTCTAATTTCGTTAGACACACCATTCTTTTTTTCAAAATAATCCTGAATACTTTATCTAAAAGTTTGGTTAACCATTTCGCTGCAATTCACGCACTTACCATTTTATTTTGGCTACTGCCAAATGATTTTATTCAGCTTAGGGTAACCTCCCGCAGCCAAAGGGTTCAATAAATATATTAAAAAAAAGCTCTATATGATACAGGCATGAATAGAGCTGTGTGTTACAGAAGAGTGTGGTATTTTCCAAGAATAAAGAATGCAGGTCGTAAAGCTGTAGTTATTTACGCAAACACCACTGTACAAGTACTATATTGTTCATATTGTAAACATAATAATGTATACTACTGTACTACTATACTGTATATACTGTAATCACCAGCAGATCCTGTCATCTTTAGCCTAGAGTAGGCAAACACTTCACTGAGCTGACTGTAATACATAACTGTAATCACATCTTAACACTTGTGATGGAGGTTGGGTGGGAGATTATTGGGTCATGTTACTAACCTGACCCGATGCAATGTCAGGTCACCAATTGTTGGGTGGGGTACGAGTGGGTTTTATGACCTGAGGATGCCTTGAATGACATTATTTTTTTACCTATGAGGTATATACATAGTCCAGTACTGTACTGTATTGTATATGAAGTGTACATGTATTAATAAGCACAGATTATTACAGTAACCAATCTTTACAAATTAATGAAAAAAAACCATTTTATCATGAGTGAGGAAGTATTTGCCGACAAATACTCAGTGAGAGGCGACCCTTTATGTGTGTGTGTGTGTGGGGGGGAGGAGACTGGCGCATCATATTTACCCTCCAATGGGCCCTTTACCCCCCCTCCCTCCCTACCTCACATCATTCGTTATAAACTTCTATTTGTGTTGGAGAGATAAATTTAATACCATAATTATCCTGAATAAATTCCCTCGAGACGCTTCCAATACGATATCCTTAAACAAAATATTTAGTTAAACACACCATTTTTTACCAAAATTATCCTGAATACTTAATCTAAAAGTTAGGTTAAAGAAAACCGTATTTTACAGCATATGAGATGCACCCATTTTAGCAGGAAGTATTTAGAAACTTTTGTGTGGATTTGTTCCTGTAACCATAGTTTCTTAAAATAATATATAAAGTATCAGTAAATGTGAGGAATAATAAAATAATACCAATAAATAAATTACAAAAAAAAATACTGCATTGCCAAACAAGTAAATAAAAGCCAAATGAAAGTTTAACAGTCGTCATTTGCATATACTTCCTGGTTCAGCATAGCAACGCAGACACCACCTCCGCCAATTCCCTAGCAAAGCTCCCCCCCCCCCACACGTCCCGCCTCCTCCCGCTCCCACAGTGAGACAACTAACTTGTGAGCAAAGAAATGTATATTCCCTTTATATGTCTGCCATTAAGATAATTATTTATTTTACTTTTTTCACAATATGTATGTAGGAAGTTGTGCATGTAACTGAGAAAAAAATAAATTAAGAAAGTTACGTATATCTCCCCAAAAGAACAAGATGAAAAACAACCATAACAACAGTTGCCTGCAGCATCTCCTCTCCCTCTGTTTGTGCTCAACCATTGTCTGTGATGCAGCATCTCGTGTTGTACGCTCAAAACTTTAGTGTTTCTGTGTGAAATGGACCCTAAAAGACTGCCAAGTGTCAGTGCTAGTGATGCTAGTGGAGTGAAATGTAAAGGCAGAAGTCAATGATGACTCTGACAAATAAAGTTGAATTATTAGATAAGTTAAAAGAGGGGACGAGTGTTGCCTCGGCTGGTCGGTTGTTTGGTATAGGTATACAGTACTGTAGTGCACTAAGGTAGTACAAGTTGCTATTCACGGTTTTGCCTAATTGCGCCATTCCTTGAAACCTAACCCCAGCGAATAACAAGGGTTTACTGTACTGTACTGTATAACTGTACTGTACTTTACTAATGATGTATTAATGTATAGAATTTCATTTTTAAAGGTTTTCTTTATTGGAAGCAGCAAATCATTGAATTTGCATTTCATTGTAAAAAGTTATGAATGGTAAAAAATTAATTGCATTAACTCTGACTTTGAAAAGTATATTCATGAATGACAAATTCAAGCACAGTACAGTCATGGCTTACTGTACATACTATATATACAACAGTTATGTGGAAACAATTCTTCCAAATAAACTACAGTACAATACAGTAATTCTAAAATTACCATATAAACCAAATGCATTATTAAGGAGTATAAATATTTACAAAAAAGGCTCACATACCTGCACCATACTATTTTCTGGCATAAAGGATCTGAACATTGCCTCAAAATAAGAACACCGAGCTGCCAAGACAGCTTTGTGTGCTCTGATGGGAGAACCATCAAGCATCAGGGTGATATCACAAAAATCCTGACCCACACTCTTTAGAAACTGCTCCATGTCTTGCTCCAATGTTGTTCCTGAAAATCATTTGGAAAAATATTACATACTCACAAATTTTCTTGAAGTTTAGTGATTAAAGTACAGGCATCCCCCGCGCTATTGGAAGGGTTGCATCACTGGAAAATTGACCGTATCACAAAATTCCACAAGGCGAAACCTATTTTCCCATTGACTTCCATTATAAAACTGGAGATGCGTTCCTAAGGGATTTTTTCGGCCCAAAAAAAGTAATTCAAGAACTTTTATGAATGAAAATAAACATTTATAAACACATACAATACAGTACATTAAATAATTTATGATATACCTTCTTAAAACATAAAGTTTAATATCCAATGTAATGCCTTTGCGGCTTCTTTTTGCACTACTGCAGTCACTTCCACTTCATGGCCTCTTTCCAGTCATCTTGAATAAGGGTAATGTACTGTACTGTACTTACTGTATGTTTGTAAAAGTTAAATCCAACTGCTGGGGCGAGAAACATGCGCGCACACTGGATGTAAACAATGGAGTGATTCTGCGTGGCGATGCCACGCTTGGCGGTAGCAAACACCAAGGAATCCACACCAAACAAATTATAATTTTTAACAAAATTTTTTAATTTTATATAGTGATTTTTTTTTTAAATTGTTAAAATTTACCCCAATTTCCGTAAGGGCGGATTTACGGGCCGTATCGTGATATTATTGGTCATAATTTACAAATTACGTAAGACCAAAATTCCGCAACCCGGGGTTCCGTAACGTGGGGGATGCCTGTATGGGCAACTGATCTTAGCCTCCCATGGAAAATTAAACAAAGGAACCATATACTCCATCAATTGAGTGAACAGAGAGGTTATAGTCACTATCACACTCTACTCTATATTATGCATATTTGTATCCTGCCTTTACATCTATGACCCTCCTATATTGTATGGTGCCTAAATCCATCTTTCTTATGGTAAACAATTCATTATCAACCACTTTCATTACTTTATTCCACTTTTTATTTTATTGATAAGTTATTTGACATAATCATCAAACTTACTATGACTGCTAACTCAAACTTTTCATATTTAGTTTTTAATATACAGGTATTCCCCGACTTACGACTACTTGGACTTACGTCCATCGGTACTTACGACCTGCTCTGACCTTATGACCGTCGGGACATACGACCGTGGCAGTCGTGACCAAAAATATTTTCAAATGATGCGCGCATTTTCTATACAGAAACGTTTCTGTCCCGGGCGAGAGCGTGGCGGGCTCTGGTCGCTGCGTGGGTACACTCACTCAGTCAAACGCTTAGTTGGTGTTTGGCTATTTTATCCTGTACTGATCGCGCTGTGAACTTTCGTTATCGTATTAAATTGACTTTATAATGACTGGAAAGCGTAAAAGTGAGAGTGCTGGTGGTGCTCCAAAGAAAAGGAGACAGGCAATTACTTTTGAGATGAAAATGAAGATAATAACTCAGCATGAGAATGGAAAACTGTTGCAACAATCTCACGTGACCTAGGTTTCTCACACTCGACCATATCCACTATTCTGAAGGACAAGGAACATATTCGTGATGTAGTGAAAGGAACAACACCTATAAAGGGAACTATAATTTCAAAGAAAAGACAAGGTCCTATTCACGATATGGAAAAATTATTGGTGATATGGATAGAAGACCAGATGCAGAAGCGTGTACCCTTAAGCCTTCTAACCATACAGGCTAAAGCAAGAAGCCTGTTCCAAAGCCTGAAGGAGCAGGCAGGAGATGAATGTGATCAAACCTTTACAGGAAGTCATGGGTGGTTTGATAGATTTAAAAAATGCTACAGTCTACACAATGTTAAGGTGAGTGGAGAGGCAGCTAGTGCCGATGTTGGTGCTGCCGAAGCTTTTAAGGAGGAGTTAGATGAAGTGATTGTGGAAGGGAATTATTTGCCTGAGCAAATATTCAATGTGGATGAGACTGGATTATTGTGGAAGCGCATGCCTGAGCGGACATACAGTATCAAAGGAGTTAATGAAAATGAACTTATTTTGGATATTAGTAACAAGATAGTGGAGTTAGGTAAACAGCTGGAGTTAGAAATTGATAATGAAGATGTTGAACAGTTGGTTGAAAGTGTAGGAGAAGAGCTCAGTAGCGAGGATCTTATTGAACTAGATGCACAGAAAATTGCAGAGGAAGAAGAGACAAAATGTAGAAGAAGAGCCTGCACCCCCCAAATAGTTTTCAGTGAAACAAATGGCAGAGGCATTTGCTACAATTAATAAAGGAATGCAAATGTTTGATGGCATGGATCAAAATTATGAGCATTATGCCAAAGTTGACAGAATGTTCAAAGATGCAATTGCTTGCTACAGAGAAATTTATAATGAAAAGAAAAAAAACTGTGCTGTCTAAATTGGACATTTATTTTAAGAAGTCCCCCAGTGCTGTCTCCTCACGCCCCACCAGTGCTGCCTCTTCACTCCCTTTAGATGGTCCAATACCTTCAACCAGCAAGTTTCCACAGTACATAAACCTGTCTGAAGACAGTGACATTGATGACCCAACCAGCCCTGTCTCCTCCTCTACTTCATCCAATTAATATAGTCTCCATGTATCCTGTAAATAGAAAATTATGGGGGCCCTGTGCACATTCAGCTGACTACATTAAAGGTAAGTGCTCAGTCACACTGTATCCATTCCTCATTATTTATTACTTTTACTGTACTGTATTTCATTGTAGATTTTTTATTAAAAAAAGAAAGAAAAAAAATTGATTTTTTTTTTTTAATTTTTTTTTATCTATGTCGGACTTACGACCACCAATCGGACTAACGACCTGGATTTGGGTCCCTAACCCATTGTAACTCGGGGAGCACCTTACAGTATAAATAAAATATCCATTCATGAAAAAACATTCTTTCAATATCAACAACATAGTTCTTCTCTACAATGTGATTGATCAGACACAATATAATGACAAACCTGAAGATTCAAACTGAGGTTCCTGGAGTGATCTCATTGGTGGCATCTGTTTTCGACGGATTATTTCTACCATAAGCGGCTTATCAAGCATCTCAAATTCTTTCGACATCACTATTTGGTTGTAGTTACTCTCTCGTACAATGAACTGAAAGAATACAAAATTTAGCTAATACTGTATCTGTGGTAAAGTCAGAATAAACAATTATCTAATTTTTCTACCACAAAAATATGTTAAATTTTTTTAGGTGCTGTTATGCCTATGATATGTTCAGCACCTTAACACCTAATGCTTAACAGGTGTGGAAGAATAACATACTGTATTTTTCGGCTTGAAAGACGCACTTTTTATGACAAATATACTTTGAAAATTACCATGCGTCTTCCAGGATGCTAGTTGTAGCAGAGGTTTTCTCAGGGTCAACTGAAATTAGCCCCTTACAAAGACTGTTACCTCATTACAGTACTTAACAATTACAAGTATTCTCTATACAGTGAGTTCTGCTATAATGCGTGTTTTGACAAAGCGAATTGGCTCTGACGCGATTTATGAATAGAGGAACGATATTTGAGTAACGCGAACGCTTGTTTGCTGTAAAGTGATTTTTGCTTACTATTTCTCCAATTTTGTGGTATTAACTGTGAATATGATAAAGAAGAATATCTCCAAGAAGCGTTCTGGTGATCGCATTCCCGGTGATGATCGTAAAAGAAAGGCTATAACCCTTGAAGTGAAGCTCGATGTTATCAACCTCAAAATCACCCTCCCCCCCATCAAGTTATATTCATATATTTTCAAGGTAAAGTGTTACATTTACTGTATGATTTCATTATTAGATATGAATGTAACATTTATTTAGACTGTGCTATCCTTTGTGTTAGGCTAACTACTAAATTTTTTTCGATTTCGAGTAGTAATCTGCACCTAACCCTATTTTCTCCATAAGCCCTGTTATTTCTATTACGTGAATTTCTATAACACGATGTTTTACAAGAACACAACTATCGCGTTACAGCAGAACTGACTGTACAGTATTATAAAACTATTGATTTAACTAATATTGTTGAAATATTACGAAAAAAATAAAAATAAACCCTTGCTGCTGTGCCGCAGTGGTGTGACAGCGCCATCTATTGAGGAATTGCTAAAGGTTGTCTGCTGGTCTCAAAGAGCAGGAATGTTTGTTTCTTCATACGTAGGCTCTCATATTTGGACACCTATTTACAGTAGGCTCTCATATTTGGACAACCATTTTGACTGTAAAAACCTCGCAAAACTAAAATCTTCCAAATTTAAATACAACTTCCTATGGAGAAAATTAATTTGAGTCTGGTACTTTCGATATTTGGCTAAATTTTGCCTTATTTACCCTACTTTTTGGGCGAATTACTACCTGTAATAAAGCAACATCCTAATAAACCAATGAAAATAACACAGATAAAGTTAAATAAAAACTAAAAATAACACAGAAAAAGTTCTTATGTTCTACAGCTTCAGCTAGAGTTGAACCTGATGGCTTGGCAACTTCGTCATCCGAGTAAAAACACACACAGCAACATTGGCTGTCCTTATGTTTTCAACGTTACCACCATTGGTGGGTAGAATTTTTTGTATTAAATTCAGAAACATTAATTAAAATATACATGAACAGTAAATAAGTGTTGCTTTCATATTCTTATATAGAGTAATGATGATATGTTTTCATATGTGCGCACTTACATACGCGATCCCACTTTTTCTTTACCATTAATAGTTAGCTACTTCCATTGTTCCATTTATTAACATTAAATAACATTACTTAAAGCAACCATATTAATTTTTTTACATTAATTTTACTACAGCTACAACCCAGGTCTTATTTTCTTCAGTTTTATACAGTAAAAGTCCAAAAACCCGGATGCCAGAAATCCGGACCACCCGAGAATCCGGACTTTTCAAAAACGATTTTTTTTTTTTAGCGGGCATTTGTGTGCATGTGCGCATGCGTGAGCGCCACAGCTGCACAGCGACAACAAGCGACCACGTGGTCGCCACTTTAAAATGGGCAATCAAACTGTGACAACATACCGTATATACTCGTCTATAACCCCCCCTCGTTATCAGTCGACCCTGATTTTTTGACCAAGAAATCGTTAATTTATGATATTCCTCGTTTATAGTTCCACCCACGTTTTTGAGGGTAATGGAACAACAAAACCACTAAAAACGCTCTACGTCCTATAAACTGAGGCTCGCCGTGCATGAAACACAAGTGCTGAAGGCAAATTGTTTACCATTTATTATTACGACACTTTACACTGAAACCCGGGTAGTTTCAACAAAAATATTGTATATTTCCATTCAAGTATTTATTCAAGTCAATTAGGAGGGAATATTATTGAAATACAACAGTTTTTAAACTAAACCATTCGAAAAGCGATTACGGTAACATCTTTTGAACGAAAGAAAGCGAAAGTCATTGTTTTCGTCATGATTTTATCCCACTTTCCACTGTAATACGTATGTAATTTCAGGAAAAATATTACATTTCCGTGAATGTATTATATCAAGCACAGTATGAATAGAATATCATTGTAATATATCAGAATTTTAACCGAAAACTATTAAAAAACGAGTAACATCTCAAGAACATCGGAAGCTTAGGTAAAGTCTTTTGTTTTCGTCATGTATTTTATCCTATTTTACATTGAAATACGTCATGTTTCCACAAAACTACTATTTATCTCCGAGAATATATTCATTCAGGCGCAGTTTAGGTAAAATAGATGAGTGATGTAATAGTTTTTTAACTGAAAACGATTTGAAAAACACGTACCCTCTAGCCCTGTTCAAAGAGAGGACTGGGAGAAGCTGTTTGGTGCTGCAGACGATGACAAGGAAAATGATTTTGATGGATTTTAATGAAAATATTCAGAAATATGGTATCGTAGTATTTATTCAAGTCAATTAGGATAGAATATTATTGTAATACAACAGTTTTTGAACTGAAAACCATTCGAAAAGCGATTATGGTAACATCTTTTGAACGAAAGAAAGCGAAAGTCATTGTTTTCATCACGATTTTATCCCACTTTCCACTGTAATACGTACGTTCAGCAAAAATATTACATTTCCGTGAATGCATTATATCAAGCACAGTATGAATAGAATACCATTGTAATATAACAATATTTTGAGTCCTACTCTTTCCATTTACAGAGTACTGTACAAGCCCATAACAATGGCTCCTAAAGTAGATAAACTTCGTTGTGTGAAGAGAAAGAAGAACACATTGAAATTGAGTGACAAACTTGAAATAATTAAGAAACTAGATCGTGGTGTGAGCAATACTGTTCTAATGGAAACATACGACATTGGAAAGTCTACAATTTATAATATATAAAAGGCAAAGAATAAAATATAGAATTCACAGCTTTTTCATTAAAACTGCTCGTTTTGATAAATGAAGCATGCTATATTTGCAAATGAATAAACTATCAAAATGTACCTGTTCATTTCTTCTTTATTCTTCATTAAATTTGAATTTTAAAACTACTGCCTGAGAATCCGGAAAATCCGAAAATCCGGACCGACCCAATCCCCAAGCAGTCCGGATTTTTGGACTTCTACTGTATGTAGAACCAATCAGTCACTGGTTTTGTAAACATTAATGAAAACAATGCCATCTCGTCTCCTCGTGTGTTTTAATATTCTACGTATTATTAATGAATTGTATTGTTCATTTTGCGCACATAAACATTAATTCAATCAAAAGGAAATTAAGTAATAAACAATAATAAATCTTTTGTATATAAGAGAAATTACGCTGTAATGTGCACGTCTGAACATTGGCGGGCCGCTCAAACCCATCGAAACTCGAGTTTCCGCCATCAAAATTTGAAATTGTGTAGTGTTTTTTTGTGTCCAAATATAAAACATCAAATTAAAAACTCGCGAAATTTGAGAACCTACCATAGACTGTAAAAACCTCACAATATTCAAATCGTCCGAATTTAAATACAACTTCCTATGGAGAAAATTTATTTGAGTCTGGTACTTTTGATGTTAGGCAAAATTTTGCCTTATTTACCCTACAGTACTTTTTTGGGCAAATTACTATCTGTAATAAAGCAACATCCTAATAAACCAGGATTTGAAGATGAATGAAATGCTTTTGACAGTTTTACTGGACATGATATTTAGAGATTTACAGTTTTTTGTGATTTTTATTGTTTGCTTACCAAAAATTTTAATTCAACAGATTTTTACCGAGTTGTTTTTTTATTTATTTATTTATTTTTTTTTAAACTAATTTTTTCATTTTTTTATTTAGACATTGTTATACATGTTTACATTTTCTTACCTTCTACTGTTGGAAAATATTTCCCATCGTTGTCATATCGACAAAAACAAGAGAAAGATTGTAAACACTACAGCCCGCTAGACGCGGAGGTGACCAGGTGTATGAAATGAGTGCTGTATTAAAGATTTCCACTTCTTACAAAGATTTTTTTTTTAAATTGATGAAAATGACGACCGATAAGCAGTTCTAAGTGATGATGTTCAAAGAGGTGTGTGTACTTGTGCCAAAGGGGCTGTATATCAAACAACGGTTTCATGTCGGTACAGTAGTAGGCAGCTACCAAACAGGGAGGTACAATACTACTGCCTGGGAAGATATTGAAAGTATAATGTGTTGTTTAATGGTAGACCTTGCTGCCATATGGCATCATGAAAATTGTGACCAAGTCCCAGGTTGCTGATCTGACCTTCTGCCTCATTTACTCACAATTGCAGGGTCTCAATTGTTTCTCTTACTTTGACAACACAACATACATATATTGCTTCTCACTCTTGATTTTTTTTTCATTTTTGCATTTCTTTATGGTTCTTTATCATTATTATTATTATTATCATTATTACATTTTCGCCCCCTAGGCCCCGATGTGGGTCAGTGACCTGTGCCCAGATAGCCTAAGCCCCGTAAAAAAACAAAAAAAACAAAAAAAAAAAAATCCTAGAATTTAATTTCCAAAGATAAGCATTTGCCCTTTAAAGCTAAAGATTTACTTTGTATACTATTTTAAATGTTGGAGATACCTGTATATGCCAATACAGTACAGGTATGTGTATATTATATTTTCCATTTACAGTATGTCACTTTCTATATTTTCCTTATATTACTCATCAATGTAATTTTTAGTTGGTCGATTGTTTATCGGCCAATTTGGTTTTTCGCATGCATCAGCTGATGAAACTGTTAACCGACTTGAATTCATGCGCACTTGCAATTCACAGTTGTTCAATTTATTTCAGCTGTATTATGGACTTTGTCGAAACAGCTTGTGTTTGTGCGTTGGTACAGTAATTCGGTAAAGGAAAAAGATACGTAAAAAACAGTACAAGGTTCATCCAATTACAAGCCAATGGAAGATTAAAGGACAATTTTACAATTTGTATGAAGATTTATGGGCCTACCCAAATTAATTTTTTCATTACTATAGAATGATAGAAAGAATGTCAACAGTTTTGACGAACTCTTGTTCCTAGTTGGGTCTTCAATAACATATCAAAATACCAAATGGAGGAACAGCATCCCCTCAGTTCGCTGTTAGTGCACTTGCACACGCTGAAATCCGCATGCACAAACGAGTTGGCCTACTATTCCATTGCGCAAAAGTTGAAGCATGTCACAAACTTTTCATTCGCCCAACTATTGAAATGCATGAGCGCACGCTGCCATTTGGCTCAATGGTTCTCACTTATGCAATTAAACTGTTGACCGACTGAACATTGCACGTGTGCAAGTGTGGAAATATTGAAGGAATGTCTGTGTCTAGCATAAATATACTGTAGTGAGTAGAATGAGTTGCAGAGTGTGGGGAAGCACTGCTAAGTGACAAAGTGGATTCGGGGTGAGTTGGATATACAGTGATCCCTCAGTTAAAGAGCGCCTCGGTTAACGAAATTTCGGTTAACGAATTACCTTCCATAAGATTCTTCACTTCGGTTAACGAGCAAACCCTCGGTTAACGAATTCCTTGCAAAGTTTTCCCAACATGTTTTCGCCTGCATTTGGCTGCCCATCAGCTGTAGTATTAGTCCGCCAATACAGTAATCGGTTTTAGGGCTTAAATTCCTTACCATTTTAGTAAATATCAAGAAGGATGTACTATTCAATAATTTTAAAAGTTTTATATTAAATTTTTTAGTCATTTTAACAATTAATGAACATAATTGAAGTACAGGAAACTAGTTATTTGCGTGCCAAACAGCCACTCAACACACCAAGCTTGGCGTCAGTTTGTTTACCAGTTCAGAGGAAGGAACATCTTGTTTGAGACTCTTCAACATAAACGCTTTTTATCCGTGTTTCCATTCAAATTGTTGGTCATTTTGAAATATATTTTACATATTGCTAATATATAGCGCAGTGCAGTGTTGATTTAAAGAAAATAATCTTGAATTACACCAAGTGAGCTTAAAATTTTATGGGTGAAATGGCGGCATGGGGTGACTTCTCTTCCACCCCAATGCCTTCTCTTCTCCCTTCTCCTCCACCCCCATTCTAATTCCCATCATCATCAACCAGGAGACTTCTACATGCACACCTCAAAGTAAGTGTACTTTACTGCATTTATTTTTAGTTTGTATGTTATTTTCGGTGAGCTGGAACCAATTACCCAAAAACCCATTGAATCAATGGTTTCGGTTAAAAAAAATTTCCGTTAACGAGCAACCTTCTGGAACGAATTGTGCTCGTTAACCGAGGGACCACTGTAAATTGGACATTGGTTATTGTATCCATTTTTTAGGAGAAGAGTAAAGATAATATTGATACTGTACTGTACATCTGATTCTATCCAGCACTCCTATACAATTCATCTACTATCATCAAATGTTCTTTAATCTTATTTCTGTCACATACCTTGAGACAAAATTCCTTTATGAAAAATAGTTTGAGATTTGCAGCATTGCAGAGCGCGACCAAAACATTGCGGTGGTTGATGGTGGCCTCCAGGTACTGAACACAAAGTTGCTCCAATCGTCGCATATGACACTGTAATGAATCAAACTAGAGTAAGTACATGTAAAAAAAAAATTATAAAGTGGAGTCGCAATAATTGACAGGTTGGGTATCAGAAGACATCTTGAATTATCAAATTCAAAAATATAATTAAGATTAATTAAATGGAGTCAATTAGTTAGGTCCCAGAGGCCAAAAATACAGTGGAGTCTGCATTTAGCGGGCAATTGAACCCGTGGAGGCCCGCGTGAAACGAGAAACGTGTAAATGAAATAACAGAACATATGGGATTAATTGAAATAGAGACTGGGCCGACCCCCAAACTCCACTTTTTCCAACACAATACCTACGTTGTAGTAAAAATAACATCTTAATTTTATGATGGTATGCACACACAATTAATATTTAAGAGAAATACAGTCGCCTGGTTAATAATGTCCATTCAAATAATGGACTCAACTCCCCTCCCCCCTCTTCCCACACTCGCTGGCTCCTCCCTCTCTGAGAAATGTTTGGGTGAAAACACTAAATTTTAAGGTATAGTAATAAATAATACCTCAGATTAAAGTTAGGATAATATAATTGACATTGCTGGATTCCTTGCAGGTCCGGGAATATTTTGAATGTAAAAGTCATATATTTTGCACAAAAGATAAAATGTTTGCTAATTTTCATCATCTCCTTATATTACATCTAAAATTTGTATGTCTAATGCAAATTTTAAGATGTTTATATTTAAAATGATCACCATCTTGTAAAAATTCCAGCAATGTAAATTATATTCTGGCCGGGTAATTTGTATGAATTTTATGAACTAAAAACAAATTTCATCAGTAAATAAACAAAGTATACTTCACCCAGACACTATCTGTCAATCAAAATACCCAACCTCCACTCCCCCCCCCCTCTTTCCACGCTCGCTGGGTCCCTCCCTCCCTCCCTACCCCCCACCCTCCCTCCCTACCAGAGAAATGTTTGGGTTAAAACAGTATATTTACATTTTTAGTAATAAATAATACCTCAGATTAAAGTTAGGATAATATAATTGACATTGCTGGATTCCTTGCAGGACAGGGAATATCTTGAATGTAAATGTCATATATCTTGCACAAAAGATAAAATGTTTGCTAATTTTCATCATCTCCTTACATTACATCTAAAATTTGTATGTCTAATGTAAATTTTAAAATGTTTATATTTAAAATGATCATCTTGTAAGGATTCCAGCAATGTAAATTATATACTTCAGTAAATAAACAAATTACAGCTCCTCCCCAACTTACGACGGGGTTAGGGACCCAAATCCATTTCGTAAGTCGAAAATGCTTAAATAATACATAGACAATCTAAAATGGGTGTCTCATTTTCTTCTCAGCACCACAAAACTCTCACTTTTAAGCTTGCCAGCCATTTTAAAGTGAATTACAAATGAAAATTTTGCCTGTGTACTGACGTTGGGACTCGAAAATACGTAATTTGACAAAATTTTGGTACGACTGAGGCAGGTCGTAAGTGCAAGTGGTCATAAGTCGAGTAGGTCGTAAGTCGGGGAGGAGCTGTATACTTCACCCGCGTAAATGACCAAACGCCTAAACAAAAACCGCGTAAATCCAGACTCAACTGTACAGTACATATAAACTGTTACAAACCTTCTTTAGTAAACACTAAAATATGATACAAAATACAGCAACAAATACAGAGGGTCCCCGGGCTACGAAGAGGTTCCATTCCTGAAGACGTTCATAAGTCAGATGTGTACGTAAGTCGAAATACGTGTTATATGCATACCGTACTTACAAAACAATGTTTAAAATCCCACTACAGTGGTCCCTTGGTTAACGAACACAATTCGTTCCAGTGTACTGCACACATCATAGTCATTCCTAAAAACCCCCTCTAATTCATATTACGCTACATAGCATTAAAATCCACCGCGCTTGTAGAATCTCAGAAAACGGGAAATATTGATAAAAGATAACTTACCTACTCAATGTTACTGAATCATTTGTTGAATTGTACCCAGGTACAGTTATATAATATTAATTGTATGTATTCATAGCATTAAGGAGAACTCAAGGTATCTATAAGATGATTGGGAAAGTCCAGTTGCTCCGGACTAATGTACTTTAGGACTAAGTGTAGATCGTGGTTTGAAGGTCATACTACGTCTGTGAACGTTTAGCGAACATAACTTCCGCAGATATCATATGAAAATACATGAGAACAATGATCTGGAAAAAGGATAAATGTATCAGAACTATGTGAGGTGTTGGCAGTGACCCAGAAACTATACTTGAAAGGAAATATCTTGTATGCATCGGTGGGAACTTAATACACCTCGTATTCATGTGTGACGGATACCCACGACATGTACAGTGATCAGAGAATCTTATGTCTGTGTTCAAGTAGTGCAATGTGTGAGAGGAGGATCCCTAATTACAGTTTTAAGTGAAGTGGATATACCCACGCTATGAACATTCGGCTTTTGTTTCAGGGTAGCGTCCTTAGTGCCTGGCCTACAGGTGTGAGTTGTTGATATAGCCCAATTAATTTCCCAGGAACTGTCAACCAAACCGTATTCTAGTATGTAAGTTAGGGAAAGTGTTCATGTGAGAACCATAAGAAATCAAATTAAAAATTCAAGATTGGAAACTGTAGGCCTACGTCGGTGAGAGGCGCGGGACCTCGAGCCTCAGTGGCACCTACTCTCTCATCAACACAGATCAGTGAACTTCATCGGGCTGTATTCAGTCCTAAAAAAAGAGACTTATATAGCAGTGATTACAGTTTAAAACTTTGCCTGATGTATAAAGTGAAATAGTAATGTGTTGGGGTGGGTGATAACGGTCCATCAGGCATTATTTCTCAGTGGCACATACTCTCTCATCAACATGCGTTCCCGGGTTTTTGAACTCACCAGAACGGCGGCCATTACCTCGTGTTGGCTCCACCATGTGAGATGACTACTCACAGCTATACCACTCCACTGTGAACCTGTGGATTCCCGGCATACCACCACCCATGAGTAGGAATACATAATGGAATGCTTGAGAAACTCCACGGTCGTCACTTGGAGCGACCTATAATACCAGGAGTAGAAACAGTACTGGTATGTCTCTTGGTGAAGCCCTCGTCTCTACCCACTGAGGGCGGTGTGCGAACGAGGTATGTACCTAGAAATTACAAGGAGTCCCATACTTGCAGGTGTGGAGTGTAACAGGTGTGGTGAGCTGGTGCTACAGGGAGGTGAGATGGTGCTACTATGTATGATAACCTAAGGTGCTATATTCCATACAGGTGGAGCAGTCTGACGTGTTGAGTGTTATTGTAAGAAGGGATGACCGAGGTAAGGAGGTCACTGATTGTTATGCAATAAGTATGTGGATGACACGCAATTAATGTAGGACGTCTGTTGTCGAGCAGGGTAACCAAAATCATCGTTGTTCTTCTGAGGAAGGCCAACTCACTTGTATTTTAACAGAATGCAGTATGTTTTATAAGGAATAAATTAGTTAAGACATGTTATTGTTTCACCCTTCTTTCCCCCTATCGATCTGGTCAGTGAAAAACCCAACCCAATGCCTAGTCCACTCTGCCCGCTACCTAACGAGCTACATACTGCCCAGAGGGGGTCTGGTGGCAGCAACCCTTAGAAATTAAGAGTAGAGTTAAGTTATCCCCTTAGACTTAGTGACCCCAGAATCTGGCAGTAAACCAGAAGGTCGTTCGTAAACTGAAAATTTCGTTAACTGAAAATTTCGTTGACCGAAACCATTGTTTCAATGGGATTTTGGGTAATTGGTTCCAGCTCACCGAAAATTACATACAAACTAAAAATAAACGCAATAAAGTACACTTACTTTGAGGTGTGCATGTAGAAGGCTCCTGCTTGATGATGATGATGATGGGAATTAGAATGGGGGTGGAGGAGAAGGGAGAAGAGAATGCATTGGGGTGGAAGAGAAGTCACCCCATGCTTCATGTCGCTATTTCACCATAAAATTTTAGTTCACTTGGTGTAATTCAAAATATATATATATATATATATATATATATATATATATATATATATATATATATATATATATATATATATATATATATATATATATATATATATATATATATATATATATATATATATATATATATATATACTCTTACTCTTAAATCACTACTGTAATGTGATACAGGTGAATAATTTTTATCTCTTGTGCAAAATAGATGAGGTTTATATTCAAATTAATCGCTGTCTTGCAAGGATTCCAGCACTGCTAATTATATTCTCCTAACTTTAGTCTGAGATATTATATAAGATAAAACTGTAGGCCTAAAACCCTGGCTGGGAGGGAGGGAGGGAGGGAGGGAGGAGGGAGGGAGGAGGGAGGGAGGAGGAGGAGGGAGGGAGGGAGGGAGGGAGTGGAGGTGAGGTGATATGTTTGACAGTTTGAGCCGAAGGTCTCCTGTGTGTTTATTTAACAGTCCTACTAAGCTTATCTCATTTTAAAATGCCAGTTAAATGACCTGGGAGAATATAATTAACATTGCTGGAATTCTTATAAGATAGTGATTAATTTGAATATAAACATGCTATAATTTGCATTAGACATACAAATTTTAGATCTAATTTAAGAATTTTATTACAAAGAGGAAATTTTTTTATCTCTTGAGCAAAATATATGACATTTATATTCAAATTATTGGCTGTCTTGCAAGGATTCCAGCAATGCAAATTATAATCTCCTAACTTTAGTCTGAGATATTATACTTGTATAAGATAAAAACTGTAAACCTAGTGTATAACCACGAAACCTTTGCTGGGAGGGGAGGGGTTGGGAGGAAGGGAGGGAGGGGTGACAGTGACATGTTTGACAGTTAGCACTGAAGGTCTAGTGAAATATTTATTTGTTTATTTGTCTTTTAGATTGAATTTTTGTTTTTTGCTTATAAAATTTAACAGAAGTGACCGGGGAGAATATAATTTACATTGCTGGAATTCTTATAAGATAGTGATTAATTTGAATGTAAACATGCCATAGTTTGCACTAGACAAAAATTTTAGTAATCATTTTGTACATTATTTTGATTACATGTACAGTTCAGCTTTGCCCTTAGGACAGTGTGTACATGTAAATGAGTTTCAATAAATGAATAAAGTTACATATATCGAGCCAAAAATAATAGTTGAAAAACTTTATGTAGACAGAGCTTGGATGGCTAAATTTTAGAATAACCAATAATTTTAATACTGTATAAAAAAATGCACAAATATTAAAGAGCAAAATTTTCTTGATATTTACTCCATTGGAAACGAATGTAAACACAAAAGAGATTACTGAATTGGCTGAGTGCCCCCTCAGCTTATCAGCTGATGTTCAAAACAAAATGTGATTTTCGTAAGGATTTCGTTAATCAAATATTTTTCGTTAACCGAATTGAAGATTCTTATGGAAGGTAATTCATTAACCGAAGCGTTCGTTAACTGAGGGACCACTGTATATCATAGCCTAATTCCTTATATGCATCTAAAATCATTTAATTTAAGACAAAAGAAGAAATAGAATGACAAAGTACAGTAAATGAAAGTAAAAAATAGGTCATCAGGTAAGTAAAATACTGTAAATTTCAAGTTTAACCCCATTCTTATCGGCGGGCGTTCGTAATTCAGACGTTTGTAAGTCAGGAACCTCCTGTACAGTAACATATAGATATTGTACAAAAAATATTTTCTATATTACATAAACAGCTCCTTCCTTTCTCATAATCATCATCTGGGTGACACAATTACACCAATAAATAAATAAATAAATATCAGACAGGCAGATGCCGGGGCTTGCTGGCTGGTCAGCTGGAATATAAGAAAAAGTTACAATGCATAAACGTACTGTACACTATAATAACCCTTAAGCCCCAGGTTAGGGTGCTGATGGCAGTCTCCCAAATCGAACAAAAATCAACCCCCCCCCAAAAAAAGACACGGTAAATAGGCGGATGTTCTGGAACGTCACCCGGGGCCTAAGGGTTAAAGTTCGTTTATTTAACGGTTATTGTTCAGGATATTTATTTTGCTTATTTATCTGACCCAACTGTAATGTTCATGCTTAGATTCATCTTCGAAGTCATGATTGTCATTCTTCAACTGAAAGGTAAATTGTAAAATTCTCTTTTTTAAGGTTAATAATTGTAATCATTCTCAATGAAGGAATGCACAGAATGGATTTACTATTCATTTAAAAAGAGTAAAACAAAAACATTCAATCTTTTTTGTAAATGGTCAACATCAAACTGAAATTGATTAAGGTTAAGTCAGGTGAGGTCATTGGCACAACAGGCTGTCTAGTCCAGTCAAATTTCTTAAACAGGGGTCAAGTGTGAGGTCACAAGGTGTTTTATTACCCCTTGAGGTCAACTTTATAGCAATGTATATTATATAACCTTGTTCTTCTGCAGCTTCTGCCACTATTCCCAGAGTTACCAATGCCAGTCCAAATTTTGCATGCAGCCATCATTTCCATTGATGGTTATTAAATATTATTTCTGGATTATGGATGAGTTGGCATGGATTGGCCCTAAAGTTAGTGAATCCTACCTGTAAATGCAAGCTCACTTACATAAAACTTTCATACATTACAAATTTATTTTTTACCATAATTTTTTTTTTATACTAGGTATAAAAAACATCCCTCTCTCTTGCCAGTCTATTGTGACTCCTCCTTCATTCACATAAGTAATGATGCTTGAGCAAGACACAGTATGAAATTGTCTGCACTTTCATTTTAATAAACCTGTTGAATAAAAAGAATAAAGTTAATTAATAGAATGGAGTTCAGAGTAATTTACAGGCATTGATGGGTTATCCACACACCTGTACAGCAAGACGATAAACGTCCATCATAATAAGAACAATCTTATTTGGGTTTTGGTCTTTCTTGCAGCGGTAAGGATCAATGCGGTCTGTATATATGTAGTTGAGCACCATCTCAAAAGCTTCTGGCACAGCATCCTGAAGCTTCACCTCTAGGGTAGGCATTTCTTGTGGTGGAATAGTTGCTGTCCCAAAAACCTGCAAATGATGTAGAGGATGTAAGGGCTGTGTAACTTGGTAGGCCTTGGAGTCACCTTAGAAGGGATACCAAATTTTAAAACCATATTAACACAAGATATATAAGAATTTTATAAACTGTAAACAATAACAAAGTGTATTATTTCTTATACATACTAGTGAAAGTAATGGTATGTACAGTAGGGGGCAGTGAAATTTTGCTCAAAGCTGCACTCTTCAGGCATTGTTCCTTATACATATCTAAGACTCCATGCCAAATTTGAAGCTGATATGTCGAGGTTTAGTCTGCCGCATTTTCTACTGAAATTTTTAAATTTACCTACAGTACTAGCCAAACAGCCGCTGTGGCGGTGCAATGTTCTGTTCAGTGATTATCAACTTTTTTTTCATATCTCTTATTTCATTTAAGTTGTCTTGTTGCAGATGAGTATGGTGCTATGTCTATATTGATTATCAGCCTTTTCTCATTTCATTTCTCAATGTTGTGTTACTGTACTGTAATGTAGGGGAGACCTGGGTAAGTTGGCGCACTTGAAATTATTCAAATAGTTACCGTTAAGCAGTTCACACCGCAGGATCACCACGTGCTTCCTCAGTCACCCATAAGCAGTCACAAAGGATGACAAGAGTCAGGTTATTGGACCACATAAGCTGCGGGATGCGAGACAAAAATACCGATTTAAGAGGCAAGAAATTGAGATGGCTAGTTTAGATAATTTGACGTCACTCTATTTTGATGGTAAGAAGACCGCCACTCGTGTGATGATAAAGAATGAGAAGACCGAGAAATGGAGTTCGAGGATGATGGTGAAAGATCATTATGTCATCATGGTTGAGCCTGGCAATGAATATCTCACACATGTGACTCCCAAGACTGGACACGGAAAGCAGATTGCCAAAACTATTCACGAGTTTCTGGTGGAGAAAAATCTAACCCAGCAGCCCATTGTGTGTGTTGGTTGTGATGGAACCAATGTAAATGTAGGATCAGAAAATGGAGTCATTCATCATCTTGAAATGTTACTTGGTCACCCGCTCCATTATTTCATATGTCAGCTTCACGGAAATGAGCTGCCTTTCCGCGCAGTTTTTTATCACTATGATGGTAAACCAAGTGGTCCTGAGCATTGGCGTGGTCCCATTGGAAAGCAGATCAAGGAGTCTTTGTCTGAGCTTCCAGTTGTCGCCTTCCAGCCAGTCAGTTTCCCTGATTTCCCTGTGTTTAATGATGAAGTGGAGAAAGATCTGTCCTGGGATCAGAAATACCTGTATAGGATTTGTAAAGGAGTTATCACAGGTGTTGTTGAAGATGACTTGGCTGCTATTGAGCCAGGTCCTCCCTGTGTGTCAAGGTGGAACACCTTATGGAGTAGAATCCTCAGGCTGTATGTAGCAACATCAAGACCCAGCCATGAGTTGAAAACAATTGTCATTACAATAATAAAGTTCAGTGCTCCAATGTGGTTTTACATCAAGATACACCCTTACGTAACACACGGCTCAAGGAACGTATTCCAGTCCCTGCTATATATGAAACACCTGAATAGTGAGGAGGAGACGATAGTGAAGAAGGCTGTCCAGAGAAATGCATACTTCGCCCACACAGATCAACTTCTTCTTGGTATGTGTGCAGATGAGGACATGACTGTTAGAGAAAAAGCTGTCTCAATGATAAGAAAAATTAGAGAGGAGAATCAGCAAAAGGAAGAATGCACTGGCAGATCTGAAGAGGAGGAGGAAGATTCTGATGCTGCTGTTGACGAGAATTTGTTAAACTATACTGATGAGGAGGGTAAAGATGGAGATGGGAATGAGGATGTGCCTCCTGTAGTCAACATGAGAAAGGTGGTGACTCCGAAACTAAAGTGGCAAGCAAAAAACTATCATTCCATGATTAACTGGAGGAATGAACTCAAGACTGAGCCTCCTTACATTGCTTCTCTGTCAAATCTACAGGTTAATGACATTCTTGAGACACCATTAGTGGTGCCCAAGTGGCCAAACAGCACTCAGGCGGTCGAGAGAGGCATAAAAGTGATGACTGAAGCTTGCACTGAAGTGACGGGATACGAATCGAGAGATGGATATATTAGGCAAAGATTATTGTCTAGGAAAATGATGCCAAGGTTCCGCACAAAAAAGAATTTCAATATGAACTTGTAATGATTTTCTATACGGTGTACCTGTAAAATAACATGTGAATTAAATCGATGTCACCCATGTAAAATTTATCATTATCCTGGAAAACATTAAATGACACCTAATTTTTGGTATACACTAAAAGTTGACAAAAAGTCGTTCGCGATGCGGCAGGGTAAGTATGCATGAAATGGCATGAAATTTTGCACAGGTGTTTGTTACAGCCATACAAACGATGCCTGAAAAGTGCAGCCTGCAACTCAAATAAAAGTGTTTTTTCCCTGCCCCCTAATGTACAGTCAGCCAAAGATGCACCGACCCCACCCTGGATTCTCGTGCTAGCAATTTTACCTGGCAATACTTGGTAAAGTAAGGTTGTATGTAAAGGTGACTGTGATTGGTTGATCTGTTTTCGGCTGTATCACTGTCAGGATAAATATTAAACAAACCAAAGGTAACATATTTATTGTTATCGCCGCTGGCTTCAACTACAGTGCTGGCGTTGCCTTACCCGAACAAACATCAGACTGCGACCACGTACGCCGCCCCCCCCCCCACGCGACCTGCACAAACAAGATGCCCTGATTCTGCTGAGTGTATGGTTTAAAGGGTGGCGTGGCCGCCTGGTCTCCATGATGGCATATCACTAGGGCCCGGATAGTTATGCATTTGCATATTTCATATGCAAATGCATGCATATTTTGCGTGATTTCTATGATAAGTGCATATTACCTAGATAACTGCATATAAATGCATATTTTGGTAAAATATTCATCTGGCAGTATCTCTTTGTTGCCACTGAATGAGCACACGTGGTACTGGGAGGTGAGGTGAGGTGTGGTTAGGTGAAGTGAGGTGAGGTCACGTCGCTTTAATCTGTCGTTTCCACACCTGGTCATGACTCATTGGACTAGTGAGTTAGTCAGTCAGGAGCAGTGCTGCTGTGTGGAGCTACTCTCTTCTGCTGCTCATTGGTTAATGGTGTTCTTGATGAACTGAAAAGTTTGCAGTCTGATGCTTACTATGGTAAACTGAGTAACGTGTTGTACAAAAACAAGGTATTTGAAAAGCTGAAAAAAGTCAGTCAGATAATGTCTGGTGATGCTATTATTGACGAGACGGTACAACCACTCACTATGTCAGACCTCCTATGTATGAAACATGCACCAATCGTCTCGTGTGATGTAGAAAGGGTGTTCTCAGAATATAAAGCTATGCTGACAGACAACAGGCGGGGTTTTAACTTTGAGAACTTACGCCACCATGTCATCATCAAATGCAACCACAATCTGTAATGTCTGAAAATATGTCAGTCTATAATGTAAATACATGTTCATATATATTTTTTGAAGCACTTTCACATATATATGTTAAATACATTACGTATATTGCTTAATAAACATTAACATTAGTTTATATTAACTATTTTGTTTCCGTATAACCTGCATTCTTGGCTTTATAAGTGCATATAAATGCACATTTCCCCTGTTTTTAGTGCATATTTGCATGCATATTTCATGGTTTTTTAGTGCATAACTATCCGGGCCTTACATATCACCTTCTCGAGTGATGCTGTGAGGACCAGCCACCAGCCCTCTGTGGTAAACACCGACTCCCAATCCTGGCCGAGTTTTTTGTGCTGGAACAATTTACACAGTACTATTGTTCCTTGGAACACCATACTGGTTCGCATTGACCCGCACTTGTAAGTACAGCCAAAGTGATGACATACCCCTCAGTACTGAAATATTGTGGACTAATTATGCCTACTCGTTTCTGCCTTAAGTGGAGAAATAAGACAGTGTGGAATGAAGTGTAACTAAGATTAATAGAGTTATGAACTTTGTATCATGTCACTATGCTTAATAATCAATTGTAATTAAGATGAAATCGTCTGAGACTAAATAATTATGTATCAGATAGATCACCATGTAATACTAATGAATGCCTTGTTCTCTGCAGGATTTGACCACATCAATAAATATTGAATGCGTCAAAAGGCGAGTTTCAATCATTCCCTTCGACTTGCCTGTCACCTGAACATCCTTAACCAAGGCGTTTATATTTATAATAAACTATTCATTTTTATTTAAGGTCATGAGAAGTTTCCAAATGTCTGTATGTTTGTTTAAATAATGAAGAAAATTTGATGTGAGAATCTTGTGGCAGCCGTGGTTGTATTTGAGTTGCCAATTCATTAATATAATTTTCTTAATTATTTAAGCAAATAGTACAGTAGTACCCCGATTTACGCGGTCAATTGAACCCACAGGGTACCGCGTAAAGTGAAAACCGCGTAAAGTGAACAACAGAACATATGGGATTAATTCCAATAGAGACTGGCCCGACCCCCCAAACTCCACTTTTTGACGACACACAACTATGTTGTAGTAAAAATATTATCTTAACTTTATGATGGTATGCACACACAATTAATAATTAAGATAAATATCAATAATATTAGTTTTTTTAACACTTACATTAGTAGAAAAGATGGCTGGGCACACAGGGATGGGGGGTTGGTTCCGAGGCAGAGGGCAAATTATTGGCCCTCACCTGTATCACTTGTATCAATTGTATCACTCTCCACCACATAGGCTTGCAGGGCCTCTTTGTCAAACCCCTCAAAGTCCATATAAGTCCATATCCTAACTATCACTATCACTGACTTAGGCCGGCTGTGGTGGGTGGCGGGTGAAGAACTCGGTAATGTTTTGATGACTGGGCGACCTTGTGCGCATCCTGCCCACGCCGCTTCCCGCGTATATGAGTAGATGCACCGCGGAAAGTGAAAGTTCGGTTCTGGCGAGGCACCGCGTAAAAGAGAAATCACGGAAAGTGAAACCGTGTAAAGCGGGGTAATACTGTATATGAAAATTTTGAAACTTCTCAAGACCTTAAATAACAATGAATAGTT